ATCTGCCTTATGTTAAAAAGGTGTTTTGTGTAATGTACAAGTACATATATTTTTTTTATATAAGCTGCTAATAATTTTGTACATAAAAGACGAATTTTTAGCCAAGTTAAACTACGTATTTTTGCAAATGTCTTCATTATTTTAGGAGAGTTTTTTTTTCTTCTTTCCTGGGGGGTTTGATTGTGTTTTACTATCCATTATAATTTCATAATTTTTCTGTATTTGAATTATTGACAATGGTTGTGTTAAAATATACCACAGAATGATTTGAGTGAGTATGCAAATTCCATAATGAAGAGAGAAAGAAGTTTCAGTTTTTGTCAAGCTTTTGGGATAATTTTAACTCCCTCTCTTTTTTTTCCTCAAATTCCCCAGTTTTTCCCATAATGGTTCAAATAAGCAATATTTTCCAAGCCTTGTGCAAACTATTTTATGAATTTATTTATTTCACTATGAATTCATTGGTTGTAAAATGAAGTGTGTTAAGTTTAGAAATTAATTTATTATTACAGGTAAAGTGCAAGGCTGAGAAACCCATTTTTCAGTTAAGAGTAACTAGAAAACTCTCGAAAAAGGTTCCTGGTGTTTGGTGGTATTTGGAAATTACCATGAATTTCTATCTTCTTCTATCATTATAATATTTATTCTGAATTAAAATCTTTCTCCTAAATATGTACAGGTTTCACTAAACATATGGTCGAGAAAGTAGTTAATTTGATTTCATTCTAAGTTACCTTGATTCCTTTGTTGTTCTTGGAACAGATAACACTTGTTACTACCCAGGGAATAATATTACTCAATATTACACGTTGTGCAAGGATGTCGACAGTGGTGTCCTGCAATAGTTGTTCTTATGTTACCTAAAGGTTATAGCTCCACCTATATTGTAATGAGAATAGTCAGGTACCCGGGGTATCACTGGTTAGCTGAGGTTAATGCAAGGTTTCTTGCTAAGGATCTTTATTTCCCGAGTTGGTCTAGTCACGTCGAAAGGAGTTAATCAAAGAAAGGTAACCAGTCAAAGTGATCTCCAACATATTAAAGCAAATGTACACTATTTTCGAAAAAATATAGTTCCTTTTATAAGACACTTGGTGTTTAGTCAATTTATTTTACAACAACTATGTTGGCAAGACTTGGCATTAATCCAAAATTCAAATCTTGATCAAAAATCCTATTATCTAGCCCTAATGTTAATTCAGTTTCACCTAGATGACCAACAAACGACCTTTACACACGTAAGCATCAGCTACTGGACAATGTTGGGCATTCAATCAGTTTTTAGGCTTATACTTTAAAACCATTATGGCATGGCCTAACGTTTAGCCAGGATGACAGATGTTTTCTGTCAAATTGCGATTAACCTATTCAATGTACACGCGTTATTTAGCATCGAAATTAATTTTTACTTGCAAAGTACCGATAGTACCAGCATAAAACTTTTTTTTTTTTTTTTTAATAAAAAGCCAGTTAATACATTCTAGATAATCATTTTAATTAACACAATGCCACAAAACAGTATTCATTCATTAATTTTTATTTTTTCAACATTGTGGTTACAAAGGGCATCTTAGTGTTTTACTACATGCACTGCACACACCTAAAGGTTTGTACATGATATTGCTTAAAGTATGAAAGTAATACACAATGAAGTGATAGCCCTAAAAAATGAAGGATCATACTTTTTAGGTATGTTAATAAAGGATACAGAGCTTATTTCCTCAAAGACTTTGGAGAATCTACCCAGCTTTATTTTTGTTATTTCTTAAGTTTATTATTACTATCTTCATTAAATGACAAGAACAAATATAACACAGAGAAAACAATGCACAAAATGTAGTAAAATAAATTCAGAAAAGTTCAAACAATATTTATATTTTAACTTTAATGTGTAATAATTATGCATTTTTCATACTTGTTTCCATATTTAAACAAAGATCACTAGCTAACATTTCCTCTTAATAGCACAAAAAAACTTTTTATAAGAGTTTAAAAAAATAAATGCCTTAAATAACAAACATACAAAAAGGAAAAAAAATACACTCCAAGATATAAACGTTTTAATAAATACCTTAAATATATATACACACACCACAAAAAAGTGCATTTCTTGTAGGGGGGAAAAATAAAAAAAACTTAATTTCATAACCAAAATGTTTTCTCATTCAATACTCTTTCAAAGATCGTTAAAAAAAATCCAAAGTTAATCTGCCATTTATAATCTTTCACTGTAACAAATAAGCTCTTTGTGATAAGAAATATATACATAAAAATGGTATATCAAACTTTTTTGCTATGTGCAATATAGTTTTCCACCATAATATCAGGTGCAGTTTTTCTTATCATTTCACCAGAAATCTCAGGGCAGTAAAGTGTTAAGATCACATGCAGGTACCCAATTTCTTTCTATTAACATTAATCTGTAAATTTTATCAACTGTACAAACATCATGGTTATATTTTATGTACAAAGCTGCCTTACAGAAACTACCCTCACTTGTTGTTTTTGTTTGTTTATACTTTGTCCTGCAATGTAAATTTTGTGATAGTTATAAATACAACAGAATTGTGTAAAAAGCAAACCCACTGAAAAGGATTCTTGAGTCTCCAAGAATGTTTCAGGTTCTTGACTCTTCAAGAATGGTATAAGGTTCACAAGTGAAAATTCCAACTTACTCGTTTTCATAATCTTCCAAGATATATTAAAATACTGACTTAAGAAGAACTGTATTAAATTTTTTTTTTTTTTAGTCTTCTGCAAAATTTTTTAAATTTGTTATTGAAATGGCTAAATGGCCACCTGATGGAATACCTATTATATACAATTTACTAAAACAACACAAACCTTTACTATCTGACAATAAAAATGTAATGCCTGATCTTTGTTGGCTTATTATAGAGTCATATCTACTTGCATTTTCACATGACTTAACTAAAATAAGAATTAAACTTTACATTTTGTATTGCCCCATACCCACTACTACTACAAGAACAGATAAAATTGGAATCTTCACGAGATACACAACAGTAACAAAAAACACCTGCATAAATACACACTAGTATGACAGATATAAGTATGATAAAATTAAACGATTGTTCTGGAAAACCTTTATGTTTAGAACAGAGATATCTTAAATTTGGCTTTGTTTATTAATTAAAGACAAGGAAGAAAACAATCTTCCAAATTTAAATTAACAACAGCATCAAGAGTATACATTACAATGAAAAACTGATTGGTAATATAAAGAACAAAAAACTAATTGTGAAATGAGAGAACCATATATTTTTAATAGATAGTTATTATATCAAAGCATTTATCCTGAAAATTTTCAATTTCTCTGAAGAGTATTGATCTTGAGTCTTGACAATTCCATTACAGCACCAAGTTCCTTTAATCTGACACCTTTAAGTTTTCCATTTGGAGATACAAAAAAATATTACAAACTAACAAGACTCACCATTTACATTAAGAATTACAAGTTTTTAATGTGGAATGCAAAAATACTATATAAATAAATAATAAAAAAAATTCTCTTTTCAGAATCATGTTAGATAGTATCATTATTTACTTACACCTTTTCAACATAATCCAATTTTTTTTTTAGAAGACTTGATAAAATTAACTGCAAATTACTTTTCATAAAGCAGCTAAACTGGACATACTGACAGCAATGGAACTAAAATAAAGTGGACCTAGTAAAGACTAGTTTCTAACAGTTACAATAGTAAAATACAGTCCTACTTTCAAATAACTGAACTTGTACATCTTTATTAACTATCCACTAATCAATTATAGAAAATATGGTAGAAAAAAATCAAATCCAAAACCAACTTTGGTTGTGTAAAGTTCAATCAGTTGAAACAGAACATTTAGAATAACATCATACTTTGAAAAGTGTTAAATAAAATAAAAATAAAAGTTTAGATTGCACTATTGATAAAAAAAAAAGTAAGGAAACCTAAAGCTGGCTATAATTCTTGTCCTATACAGAATAGGAACAGTAGTGTTTAGCATCTTGGCTTCAACATTTCATAAATCACTCAGTAGAGCCAATTCCATTTTCCCAACAGTTTGTAAATCTAGGTCTCCATACAAGTTAGAATAAATTCTACCACAGTTAAAAGTAGGTTTTGTTTTAAAGCACCAATTATTTAACAAATATACAGAAAAGCACCAGTAGTTTGACAAATTTTTAGAAACAAACCGCTGTCTTTATATCATTACTTTTACTTGGATAATTTTTTTATTTTATTTTTATTTTTATTTTTTTATAAATACACCAAAGCATTTGCAATTATGGGCTTATTGTGAAGGCAGATATTCTTTAGTTTAACCCTAACAACTACATTTGTAGTGCAAACACACACACACGCATAAATGTGTATGTTTCTATACCTTGGCCAACTAAAGGCCATGAGCTTGGAAGTGCAGTCGTTGTCTTGATAAATCAGGCGTACGTGTGGAAGCATTATGGCAGTCAGTGTTAGAGCACTATAGTATTCTTTTCTTAAGGCGATCTATAGGAATAGGTTACGATAACTCTTTCTAGCATGTGTTGTGAGAACTGGAACTATTTATTCTACCCTACACTCTTTGGTAATTGAAACTCTACAAATCACGTGGTCTACAAACTAGTTGAGCACATTCAACAAACCAGGGTGTGCTGGTCAATTGGATTTTCCACAATATGAACTTCCTGATGAAAGGTTGACACTTGGTCTCCTACACCCACATTCTCCTCTTTTAATGGCCGCTTTCGAGTCAAGCTCACACCCCTTGTTGATATGGTTGGTGCTAAAAGAAACATAACTTAAAAATTACCAGATTAACTTCAAAATTATATTTAATTGTATTCATTTTAAACAAAATTAAGAAATAAACACTAATTTTTAAGTTCTTTAACCCTATGGATGTGTAGGGTAAAAATGCACATCACCACCCCTTTTACAGAATTACATTCAACATTTAATTAAACTACTTTATTATGAACATGTGCAAATAAACTTGGCATCAAAATGAACTTAATGAATCAAATCCTTAATATTAAACGAGTCTTAATTTCAAAAGGACGGATTTAAATATATTATCAATCTTCATTCGTCTATTACTTAACACTTCTTCATTATGAATTGTCAAACTTCCATAACCCTTCCACCTCTATATAACCTCAAAAGTTTTAATACAAATTACCAATTTATAATACAGATATTACTGAAACTAACTGTATAGCCTCCAATCATCTTAATTTAAAAATATAAATCAGAAAGATAAATCCACATGTCACACCTTCCTATTAATACTGTCTTTAAAAAATAAAAAGTTAGAGAATTATCTACAAACATTTTATTCATAGTAAATAGAAAAAAACAAAAAACTTAATTTACTGAATTACACAGAATGCTAGCCCATTTTGAAATATCTTTTGACTTATTCAGCCTACAGATTCAAAACTTGCTTTGCCCAAGTTCATTTCAAACATGTTAGTATTTCCCCCCCCCCCCCATACTTGTTATAAAAGAGAGTAAAATGTAAAATTTAGAAATTTATTAGACTAGATAATAAAAAAATTAAAAACTTCTCAATAAGGTATGGACAGAAGTTGCCCAAGTTTTATTTCACAATGAAATTCTTCGTTTTTTTTCCATAACTTGGACTATTTTATTTGCTTGCCAGGCGTTCATGGCTTTATTGTGCTTGTTTAGTAATTAGCAATAGTTCAAAGAGTTGAAATATTTATTAAAAGTTTACCACAGTTTGTGAAACTATATTTATTGCATTAAAAGTTAATACATATAGTTTAATGTTTATATGGTGGTTAATACGTTGGTCAAAATAATCGAGTCCATATAAGGAGAGGTATTTCTTCTCATTATCCATTTAAAATCCAGATAATTACACATAATCAAAAATCATAAAAGGTATAGGCACAAGACGTTGTGTATCAAAAGCCACTTGTAATACGAAGTTAACTTTTGGGAATATATTTAAGATGACATTCCTATTCACACTAAAACAGTTTACAATATACTGTTGTTATAATAATGTGCATCATCCATACAATAGAATTTCCAATTAAATAAATTAAACTGTTGGGAACCCTGGCACTTCTGTCATAACATAACAGTTTTAAAAATTTTTGTAATACGTGGTATCAAACAGCCATTTGGTTTTTTCAGGCACAATTGTAAACATTAGTCACTAGTTATGGAAGAGCTTGTTTACAATTTGTTTTCATGAATTAAGACTTAGAAGTTAAGTAGTAATAGATGCGATATTACACCACTATTAGAATTTTACACCTTGGCAACATTTCTAATAGTTAGAAGTGTACACTAAACAATAATTTTAAGTTCAATTTTCACATGTAGTTTCAAAAGAACTTTTTGTTTTAACTGTAGTCATTTTAACTAAACTTATTTTATATAAACCTTAAATACTAAATAATAGGTTATGTATCATTCTTGTTAAGTCAACCTAAGGCAAGTCTCTCTATTAAACATTTACTAAATGGACATTCAGAACTTAACATAAAATAGGTACATTTCTTAAATACAATACATACAAAATACTGAAAAAAAGGTAAACAAAGAAACTACAACTCAACTGATTCAAAAAGATAAATTCCATAAAGAATGATCCCAATAATAATTATAATATAGCAAAAAATTTGGTTTGTTCGTGAAGAAGAGCATGCATGAAAATGTTCTGGGAGTGAGCAGTAAGACGAGAGATTAAAACTTCATTAATAGGTGACAGTAAATAGCCTGGAGTTTTTACCTTCACTTGACAAAGCACTTGGCCTGCGTTGAAACTGGTTTAATACTTACAAAAAAAATAAATAGCATTCAGTGTAAGAAAAACGAGATCATGCTAAAGACTATAATTTACAGAAGTGATTATCAAAATACAAGTCTTCATTGAACACCTAGCCTTTCAGAGGTAGAGAGAAAGAGAGATATACAGATATTTTACTCACATTTAATAGATTTAAAGCCTTGTTTGTAAAATTAATTTGCATTTTACTACTAACATCCTTTATGACTGAATACCAAACTATATAACATAAAACATTTAGCCTAGTGCTAGAATCTTACATTTCTTAAACTATTTTATCATTAATTTTTTAATTTCTAAACATCTAATTTTAAATTAACAAAACCATTACAGAAATCTACAATTACAGAATCATAATTTGGTTAGCAAAGCAATTTTAAACAACAATTTTTTTTTTCTACGATCTATGTTCCATGGATTACATTTAAGCAATCAGTATTGCAAACAAGACCCAAATATCTACAAGCTTAACTTCCCACTGTGCTCATGTTTAAAATTTGTCTTTAAATATATATAAATGTGACTAAATTATGTGCAGTTATACTATGAATTACTGAATGGTTTGTTTTGAATTTTGTGCAAAGCTACACGAGGGCTACCTGCACTAGCCATCCCTAATTTAGCAGCTTAAAACTAGAGGAAAGGCAGCTAGTCATCACCACCAACTCTTGGGCTACTCTTTTACCAACGAATAGTGGAATTGACCATCACATTACAACACCCCCACAGCTGAAAGGACGAGCATGTTTGGTGTGAAGGGAATTCAAACCTGCAACCCGTAGATTGCGAGTCGAGCGTCCTAACCAAAATTACTGAATGGAGTGGTTTGGAGATGTATTATGATGAAGAAATGACCACAAACTCTAGAAAAAGTTATTTCACTCAATGATTCTACAGCTTCTCCAAGCGTGATTTTGTACTTGTACTCTTAAGTTGACAATGACTAAAAGACTATATAATTTGTTCAATAGAACAATAGAAAGTAGGGGAACAAAGTCAGGTGAACAATGTTTTTTTTTTTTGCTGAGTATTCTAGAGTAGTAAAAAGTTATCAAAAATTTCCTAGGCTTTTATTTTACTTTATTTATTTTTTTAACCTTCTTTATGGAACCATGAAGTTAATGCAATGTTTTTTTAATAAGTGCATGAACATTATAGCAAAAACTAAAAATTCCCTTTCCCTCAGCAATTTTTAAGTCTGCAAATATTTTTGTGGAACTAGTAGGCAGGACAAAGTGATGCCATTGTTCTAAAAGCTGCAGAGGAATGTCAAAAAGATTCAGGTCCTTTTGGTGTTGCTCTGCAATATTACTGCCGATAACACTCGATGGATAGGTATTTAGGGGTGGAGAAAGACTACATCTAGGGTGAATAGGAGTAAGCTTTGTTATGGTAGTACATCTTCCTTCTGGCAAAAAAAATCAATTGTACTGCTCAGATGAGCTGGAACACAAGATTGTAGTGAAGAGACTATTGCCAATTCATGGATAGATACTATTGATCAAAGTTGCACGGCTTCCTTTCGGTAAGCCACAGAACTACAATGCAACAATTCTCGTTAGTACTGAGTAAAATAAATAACTTTTTTCTGGAGTTTATGTTCATTTCTTCATCATACTGTACGATTGGATGAAGTTTCCATTTTGTATAAAAACATATTCAAGCAAATAATAGATTTCAAAAAAATTAAGTCACTATAATAGACTTGATATGTCAATTATACGTGCATAGTGGTAGAAGACTAATAGTGTATGGTTATGTACAAAACAGTCTAACCATCAGGACACGACTAATTCTTGAAAAAAAAAAATTCCATGACACAAATCACAGTTTTCAGAAATACAAGTAGGGTATCCTCCAGTTGGTCAGTTGCAAGATTATCAGCTTACAGTGCTAAAATGGGATTTGATTCCTCATTGTGGACAGATCGGAGTAGCCCATTTTGTAGCTTTGCACATACACACAAAAAAGAATTAATCTTACGTTTTCAAAACACAAAGAACAGAGTAGCTGTTCAGTTTTTAAAAAAAAAATACCTAATCTACAATTAATAAAAATTTAAGCAAGTTGTCAGAATAGAACATAACTTAACTTTGTTTTATAGTAATTATACCCCACTCCACCCCACCAAAAAAAAAAAGAAAGAAAGAGGTTTTACAGTGATGTTTTCACATCTAAAATTAATCCAAACATATAATGGTATCCTTTAGATCTTACCAAATCCTAGGCCTTGTAGAAATAGTTTTAAGACCTCTGCCACTTTTCCTGGCTGTTCTTCCATAGCCATTCCACAATCAGATATCTATTTAAAAAACCCAAGTTAATATCCTACTTTATATCAGGAATTAGCCATTGAACATGTAACAGGATGTAAGTATTTTGCAACTCTTAAAATGACGAGTAATCACACAAATGTCACATAGTTGGATTTCAATAAACAAGAAGGGCACCATGTTTGTCATATTCAGTCTCAAAAAATAGAAAACATGCATGTATATGCATCATTTTCAATGGACATAGACCAATTTTTGCTGAATCCCCCCCTCCTTCTAGAGTTCTACAATAAAAAAAAATGCATTGCTCAATATTTGTTTATCATAAAGGTATTCAGTTTGAAAAATTAACAGGTGATTAAGGCAGGGTGTATTTAACAAAATGGTGACTGATGATAAATGCTGAAAGAGAAAGTAATTACCTTCATCCATGTAGAATTAGAAGGATCAAGTCTTCCATTCATCTCAACAGTGTCATCCAAATGAGGTGACAGTGCTCCTGACATCAGCAATACTCCACTTCTGACAATGATGGAAGAGAAGAATCAGGTTTCAATGATGAAAATGTATATCAGTAATGCAACTGAATGAAGATAAATGGAAATAGGCTTAAACGGAACTTAGTTATTTCCAGAATGGGGAGGAGGAAATCAACAACATAATTTTGCTATTTAAAGATACAGAAAACCTGATGAAGTACCAGTCTTCAGTTGCTCTTACTTTTAACATTCCAACATTAAAGTCTACATTAACCCCTCCCCTTATATACCACAAAATTTATACATCATTTTAGACAAAGATGTGGTTTGCATTAGTTTGTGACTAGTCAGTTCTGTATTACCATTCGTTATTTCCTAGTACCAAATATAAATCGCACCGAATGAAGTGAAGGATGTATTTACATTGAAAATATTTTAAAAAAGCAATTATTTATTTTTCACAGTTGCAAAAGCATAAAAGAAACAAAGTAATTAAAATTTTTTCTTCATATATTTGTGACCCACATGAAACTTACTTGAATCTTCTTTCAGACTTTCTCTTTGTAGGATCTAATTCCCGTTGTATCTGCAAGTCAGTACGCCTGAAAGCATTATAACACTGATAAAAGTTTACATTTTTTTTTTCCTTTTTTGCAAAAACAGTCCTTTCACTTAACAGTACATTTGGGCAATGCAATAACGATACAAGAGATCAAATGTATATTTTATGTATTAGATATGCACTTTACAATCATGAGTTGTTTTTTTCCCATAGAATGAAATTAATAGCCCAGAAACATCAGCAAGCAAGAAGAACTGTTCAAAATAAACAAGCCAGAAGAAAAAAAATGAAGATTTAGGTGAAAATTAGCCTTATATAATTATAAGATAGAAAATGTTATAAATTTATCACAAAAGGATACTTTTATGAAAACAATTAAAAAAACTACTTGCTTCTCAAGCTTTCACAATAATGTGCATTTATTATCTCACCAAATCAATGTTAAAATGTAATGGCCCTAAGCAAAAGTATTGTTTTTGGAAGACTTTTCATCAACACCAAAGCAGGAGCTTGGACCCTAGTCTTAAGAAGTTTTCTATGATAAATTAGTTATTGGCTTAAAGTCTTTTGTTCAAAGTTACCACCAAAACATGGCAATTTCTACAAGATAGATTCACAATTTTAGGATTTAAAGAAGAAACGTCTTCATATTATCAAAGTTAAGTTTCTGAATAATTTTGCTTAAAATATTTATAAATAAGTTTTAAAATACTGATAGACTTTAATAAGTAAAGGAATAAAAGGCCTATTGATATATTGATTTCATTGATAAAATACAAATTGTAACTATTTTTTTTTTTAAACTATGAAAAATTTAGTCCCCAAATGATCACATCATTTTCTAAAGTTAAGGTTTAAAGAAATAATTTGATCAAACTACAGAAGAAGCCTACATTCTACAGTCTTCGTGTAAATTTACACCATATGGTTGGTATTAACTATTAAGTTCGAGGTATAATTTTGCAGATGTTTAGACTTTTACAGTTTCAGAACCACTTCTCCATCCCCCACCATAATGATTCTGCGAGTGGATTAGCTGTTAATTACACTTTTTAATATCCAAAATGATCATAACATCCAGTTCATCTTCAGAGTTCATAAGATCTGAATAATCCAATTAAATGTCACACCAATGATATATGCAACTAACGGAATCCTACACTTACTAATTCAATGTCATATGCTTGCAACTTTATGTTACCAACTTACAAGACCTTATGTAGTTGAAGATCTAAGCAAAAGATAAGGATAATCAGTTTTATTGTAATAAGTGCTGAAGTAAAGAATTCATTTTAGAAATAAGAATCAATCTCTTAGAAAAAAAAAAGTTTATCCAACGTTTGTTATTCTTTCTTTGAAGTGAAAAGTTAAGCCAACTAGCACACACACACACACAGTTGTCATACCCTGAAGAATTTGGAGTTGCATTTATTTACATAAAGATGAAAGTAACATTGCAAGACTGTGCTGATAAAATTGTGTTACAAGAAATATTTAGTGCTTAAGTTAACAAAAATCATAGATTTGTGCAATGTCACATGTTATTTAACAAGTCATACCTGATGTAGGAATCTATAAACAAAGAAAGGTTGTAGGGGTTGACAACTTTTGTAAAATACTGAGTGTATGCTTCGATCAAGTTGTAATTACAGTCCTCAGTTACCTAAAATGTTAGGAAAATACACTTAGTTAACATGTGGAAAATTTCTCCAAGATGTTAAGATTTTTTTTTTCTTTTTTTTCATGCAGTCAATAAGAAAACAGCTACTCCCAAAATATTAAAATCACTCCCACACCAATACAGTCCTTAGATTTTAAGTAAGCAAAGCCACTTTCAAATAATTTTACAAAATTAAAAATACATAAATTCTGTTTGAACAGATGTATTCAAGTTATAGTGCAAGCTGAAACTTGAATATGTATGTATAAAAACAAATGCACATTGTTTAATATATATTCCACTACAGATTAAGTAAAAATTAAAATAAAAAAAAAATCCTTACACTTATAAAGTGAGGGTAGAGAGCAGTTTCAGTTAATCTTACAACCCTTTTATCACCACCCCCTTTAACCTCAAATTGGGTAGGGATATTAGAATCAGTCATAATAATATACTTTTGTATGAATGAAATTTAATTACAACTGTAAAACAAAAAAAGCACCATATTCTAGTCAATATTTGTTTTTCTACGTGTGTGATAAAAGTGTTTTTTTTATACAGATGGAATTAAACTTGAATTTCAAATAATTATATAAACATCTTTCACATTAAAACTCACAAATTTGAAATTGAAAGCATAATCTGAATCAGTACAAACATTTCCAAAGTGATGCCACAACAAATACTCTAGTGGAGAGGAAGTCATTCCCGAAGACCGGAGACACATAGAATTTAACTTCTGGTAGCCCCACTCAGTCCAGCCAGCTACTGTAGAAGTACAATTGATTAAGAAAAGTCCATCCACAAGATCTGGGTATTGGAGCTGAAGGAAGGAAGGAAAAAAAAAGGGTACTTTATTTTTTAAATTAATATTTTCAAATCAAGATGCTTTACATAAAAATTATAATGCATTAAGTGTATGGTTATTAACTAATATAAAAGTAATACTATTCTTCAAGCACAATCACTTTAGGCTATTTTATGTTCAAAGTAGGTAAATATTTGATACTGTTACAAATTTAACAAGGAGAAACAAATTTAAATTAATTTTGCAAGTTCAGGTTTTTTTTTTTTGTAAAATGATAGACAGCAACTTACAGCAAATCTTGCCAAAATGTTTGCACCAGCTCCCACACCCAAGCCCACAAAGTGCTTCAAGCTATATAGATAAAAATAAATCTTAAGTTCTTCAAAACAATATTTCTGATATATGAAAATCAGGTCTTCCTCAGGCACTGTATAATTAACAACAATTACAAATTCAAAGTTTAACAATTATTTTCAGCAGTGTATGTGTTGAATTAAAGTATTTAACATAGATGGCAATTCTTTACCAAAAACAAAAGACTGAAATATGAATTATAATTAGTAGAGGGGAGGGGGGGGAAATTTAAGATTTGTTTAAAGAATTTTTATTTTTATTGTCATCATCAGTATAGCTTCTCTAATTTTTTAAGTTTATATTAAATTCACTTTATATCCAAAAAATATTAAAATTCTATGAAGTGTCTGGTTTCTTTTAGGAGTTAAAAAGCAAAGAACATTTCCACTGTAAAGCTGATCATATTAAATGTTTCTGATCATTTGAACATAATATATTAATCTGAAACAACTAGTTTGTAATCCACGGAAACAAATTACTGCATTTATAGGAAAACAAGTTAATTACAATCTATTTTCACATTTAAGTATTGTTCAACTCAAGTTACAATTAATATGCATATTAATAGTATTTGGTATCTCTTAAATATTTAAAACTAAATACTTGTATTAAACTTTATGATTCAACAATAAAGGAGAAATTACTTACTTGAAAAACTTAACAGCACATAGGATCATTTCAGCAAGCTGGTCCATTGTAGGATACACATAACTGTATATAAAAACAAGATCCAACTAACTGAGTAAATATATTCAGTATCATTATCACTACAGATGTTTTGTTTTTTTTTGTTTTTTTTATCCTACTATTTAACATTTAAATGCAAAAAATGATGGAAACTTGTTTATGTTTGCCCTTACCAATTAGTTAACTTATCCATATAACATATAATAGATGTAGAAGAATGGTATAGCACTTTATAGATCTTGAGATTGATTAATCTGTCCTGTACACTAACTTGTGTTTCTGTTAAATTTTTTCTTCTTGTTTAAATAAATGATTTGCTCAAAATGCCTACCTTGGCATGAAATAGTTCATAGTTTATAACGAAGACGTATAAAAACACTTTTCTCTTTTAATCTCACCATTGGCACTACGTGAGCATTAGAATGATAAACTGGAGAATGCAAACAAAATTCCATCTTGTTCACAAATAACCTTAAAACAAGATTCAGAACCTGGTAAAAAAATAGCTAGCCAGAGTTTTTAAAGTCTATCATCAGACCAATTTCATTACAGTTTTAAGTGTGGATCCAGTTTAAGAATTTTGTGTTTAGTAAAACTAAAGAATGAAGTTATTATAAAAAAAATCAAATGTCAGCGTTTTTACTTACAGAGACATGCTAGTTTTATTATTTGGCTTAGAACTGTATCATAATTAATCTAGCAACAGGATGTTAAGCCTCACAGAAATATTGTCCACATAACACAAATAACTGTTGTAGCATTTGTGTTTTCAGTTTTACTTACCTCTAATTTCTACATTACCTTTAAACAATACAGTTTCTACAACTAAAATCAAAATATCATTATACTTTCTCCAAGCTCTATCTGCAGCATGTTTTGGAATAGTAATTTAAATGAACATTAATAGGAATCATCACTGCAATTTATGTTCAAGTGTCATGAACACAACAAGCTTGGGATTAAAACATTAAGTCATGGAAGTACATATACTGGCATCAACTATTTTTCATAAATGTTACAGTATTTAAGTTTCACACATTGTTATTTATGCCACACTATATTCAGTTGTTGACTATCTAACAGTATGTAATATACACTCAGTGCCAGAATAAGCACGAGGCAAATGAGGCAGCCCCCCCCCCCACACAAAATAGGGTGTCCACAAATATTTTGTTAAGATTATTAATGAATATTGCAATATTCGATTTATATATATTTATTTATTGAAACCTAGTTTTTAATAAATAGTTTTTAATAAAGTTTTTTTCCTCTTGCATTTGAAAGGACTTCCATAAGGATATTTGCCTCAGGGCCTCCACTTAATCCAGCCCTGTACACACCACTTACTAATATTTCTCTTATTTTATTAAAGACATTTCACAACATGGCTGTTCATGCATAAATCAAATTATCACAAATTAGTATACGACTTGTAAATGATCACCAGAATAACTAAAAACTACTAAAATAGCATGTTTGAATTAATAATTCTAGATAAATTTACATCCTAATATCGGTAATGATAAAACATCCATCTTAAGCCTAATCATACAATACTAAAAACATGATTAAGGTAATTCCAAGTTTTCTAAAGGCTGAAAGTTTAACAATATTTTTTTAAGTAATTTAAGGAAGTAATTAATAGTACTTGAAAAACTAAAAAGTGGTATATCACATACACTAAAATAAACTCATATTACAAAGAAAGAAATACTTACAAGTTGACTAACAGTAACAAGACTTGTCACACAAGTTTAGATTTTGCTTCTTTTGCAAGGTAATTTATCCAAGATAAACACCATACATCAATAATGACAGGCAAGTTGTTTATACATGGTATTTAGTAAACAGAACAGATGAAATAAAAATAGAATTCTCCAAATATATGAAAGTAAAAATAATTCATATGAAAAGCATATTTACACAAAATTTGTTTATTGTTGGACTAATGGAGAACAAAGATATAATTTCAAAACTAAGGGAAAAATTACCCTTCTGGAAGTGTCGGTGCTCCCTCCTCCTGTCCTGGAGCATTAAGGTGGTAAACACAAAAACTCTGCAACAGTACACGCATATCGACATAGTTGAAAAATGCTTGAAAGTTAGATATATCTGCAAAGAAAAATATAAAAGTTAAATCAAAAGGATACAACTATATAGCATTACATAATCAAAGGGAAAAAAAATTCATCATACACATCATATATTGTGACAAACTGCAGCCTTCCTCTCCCATTGCAAATTAAAACACCAGAGCAAACAAAACAAGAACCAACAATTTCAAATTCGAACAGCATCCAAACAACAAGAACTGAGAAAGTTTTGAATGTTAAAGTTTCTTCTCAATAAAAATGACTAAAGAATAACAGATTAAACCGTACTTTCTTACAACATCACGGAAGTTAGCTGTTAAAGTCTGTATCCAAGACAAAAAAGAAAAATGGACTTTGAGGTTGTAATTACAGCAAAGGTACTTACTATTCAGGCCCAAGTCATGGTAAGTAATTATTGCTTGTTTGTTTTGCTCCCCTTGAACAGCAACAAACATTCTTCCAAAATCTGTCCCAATCATTTCTTCCTGTAACAGGTTTCATATTTAACATTTGGTTTAAAGTTATTCTTAATGTCAGCATTATATAGAAAAGACATTAATAACAAGTTTATTACATTACAATCCAACTTTGACCAAAATATTAAGTCTTTTACCAATCTGTGAAAGTTTTTAAGATATTTTTTTTTTTTTGGTTCAGAATAGATCCAGTTTTGTAGACTCTTAGAGTAGAAGATGAAATTCAGATTCCCAAATCTTCAAAATTTCTGTTCAGTTTTCAAGTAAGAGAAAAGCTATGTGTATTCGAGATGTGAGGAAATACTTCATAATTTTTTTAGGTGGCTGTACTTATTCTTATTTAAGGTATTTTTAACAAAGTTAATTTCATCACGTGTACAGAGTAAGCCACTGCTCACTTGTAATTCAAGTTTTTTTTGTTTTTTCTAATGAACAATATCATTCCAGCTTTTTTGTACTCTGTTTTAAGAGTAGGTTTTGATCAGCACAGTTAGATATTAATAGTTAAAGTAACTGTGCAACTTAAACTGTTCTTTGTGACTGTTCTGCATTGTTTATCATTTGTTGCTGTGTGTGTATTTCTGATTGTGGTCATTACACATGTATTATACATGGTTGTGGAAGCTTGAACACTCATTTTGTGTCAAGACATTTTCTTAAATAATCAATCTACAATGAACTGGCACATTTATGATTTTATTTTCTAAAGAGCCATCCTTTTAAAACTAATAGAAAACCAGTATAAAATGAAACATCGGGTATGATTATGACAAATGTAATCTGCTATATTTATTGTGTATATTGATATCGTATGGCAGCATGAATAAAAGTTGTAATAGTTTGTGTGAAGCAATAGGCTCATATACAATCTACTAGTTGCAATGTACAGTTTGATTTGTATTTTGTGCAATAATGTTTTGTAGAATTAGTAAGTACACCAACTAATTGCTGTTTAAATGTTTGTAACTCCTATATGTACACTGTTTGTGTTTCTATAATCTACATTATTGTAAATAGGCTCATTTTATGGAATATTTAGTAATACTTGTTCCACATGCCACTACTCTACTCCCCCACAAGTGTATATTGGTACCGTATGGCAGCATGAATACAAGTTGTAATACTTGTTCCACATGCCCCTACACTACTCCCCCACAAGAAAACTTGTTTTCATGCTGCCATACGGTACCAATATACACTTGTGGGAGGAGTAGTGTAGGGGCATGTGGAACAAGTATTACAACTTGTTTTCATGCTGCCATACGGTACCAATATACTCTTGTGGGGGAGTAGTGTAGGGGCATGTGGAACAAGTATTACAACTTGTTTTCATGCTGCCATACGGTACCAATATACACTTGTGGGGGGAGTAGTGTAGGGGCATGTGGAACAAGTATTACAACTTGTTTTCATGCTGCCATACGGTACCAATATACACT